CCTTGTTATGTGATTTTTTGTGTGATTCGAATGTTTTTGGCTTTTTCTTCTATTTCTCTTTGTTTTTGTATTTTTGATTTTGTGTGTGTTGTACAATGTTCGTGTGTGAGTGAGAGTGAAGGTATACGGAAGGTTTAGGGTGTGATACCCGAGCATTTTACGGTGGGCAAGTGGATCGCATAACACATTATGCAGTTGCATATGTGTTATGCGGTGGATTAAGGACTGGGTTGCCCAAACTTTATTTTGCGATGATTTCTGCGATCGCATAGTAGTTATGCGGGCCGCAAAATCTGAAACCTTATCGCATTTTTGCAGACCCATCTTGCCAATTTCTCTGACTGTGTCTGCGACCACTATGCGGTTCGCAAAGTAATTATACGACCGCATAGTTTCCGCAAACCACAGACCCTTCTTTCCTTCAATTACCTCAGTACGTGCGCCCTATTCATGGTATTTTGGACTACCTGCATTCTAACACACACGCCAACCTGCTCAACAATAACAACTAAACCTACATAAATGAAAAACTAACAAAAGAGTATTACCACACATGGGTAGCCTCCCAAGAAGCGTTTGATTTAACGTTGCGGCATGACGATGTCGATCCCGTTTGGGCTACTCAGTGGTTGGTGTAGGACTATCCTTGAGAGCAATTTGTTCTACCAGGTGCTTTTCTCCTATGGTGCTAGGGTAATGCTTAACCCGTTGGCAATATACTTTGAAAGTTCGAGTCCCATCCTCCGACTCCAATTCGATAGCACCATAAAGGGGACACATTTACAACTTTGAATGGGCCAGACCATTTGGATTTGAGTTTTCCCGGAAATAACTTGAGTCTTGAGTTGAAGAGTAAGACCAAGTCACCAGATTTGAATTCCCGCTTCAAGATCTTCTTGTCATGAACAAACTTCATTCTCTCATTATACATGGCTGCAATCTCATAGGCATGGAGACAGAATTCTTCCATCTCATTGAGTTGTGTCATTCTTAGGCTAGCAGCTTCGACCCAGTCAAGATTCAACTTTTTCAGAGCCCACATGGCTTTGTGTTCAAGCTCCACAGGCAAGTGACACGCCTTACCAAAAACCAACCGGTATGGTGATGTGCCAATGGGGGTCTTAAATGCTGTGCGATATACCCACAACACATCATCTAAATTCCTTGACTAGTTGGTCCGTTTTGCATTGACAGTTTTTGCTAGGATGTTTTTAATCTCCCTGTTGGAAACTTCAACCTGACCACTTGACTGAGGATGATAAGGTGTGTCCACCTTGTACTTTACGCCATACTTTTCGAGCAGCCCGGTGAAAGACTTGTTGCAAAATTGAGAACCACCATCACTAAGGATGGCCCTGGGCGTACCAAACCGCGTGAATATGTTCTTCTTCAAGAATTCGGTCACACTCCTTGCCTCATTGTTGGGCAAGGCGACTGCCTCGACCCATTTGGAGATGTAGTTCACAACCACCATAATATATGTCATGCCATAAGAGCTCACGAATGGACCCATGAAGTCGACCCTCCACACATCAAAGATCTCGACCTCCATTACACAATTCATAGGCATTTCATGCTTTTTAGAAATTGACCCTTGTCTTTGACATTTATCGCCTGCCTTAACTATTTGATTTGCATCATGATAGATCGATGGCCAATAGTAGACACATTCAAGCACTTTTGCCGTTGTCTGGTTTCCTCCATGATGGCCCCCAGCTGGGGAGTCATGGCATGCCTTGGGAATTAGCATTACCTTATCTTCCGGAACACACCGCCGAATGATGTTGTCGGCAGAAATACGGAACAAAAAGGGCTCCTCCCAATAGTATTGCCTACACTCCAGCAAGAACTTTTTCTTTTGATAAGCTTCTAATCCATCGGGAGCAAGGTCACTAACCAAGGAGCGAACGTGCTATACAATGCCAATATGTGCTCATCTGGAAAGGCATCATTGATTTTAAGGTTCTCTTTTGGCCTCCCTGCCTCTTCAAGCCTAGATAGGTGATCCGCAACTTGATTTTCCATCCCTTTTCGATCCTTGACTTCAAAGTCAAACTCTTGCAACAAAAGGACCCACCGAATCAATCTTGGTTTGGCATCCTTCTTTGCCATAAGATAGTGAAGAGCAGCATGATAAGTGTAAACTATCACTTTGGACCCCAACAAATAGGCCTGAAATTTTTCAAACGCATAGACAAGGGCAAAAAGTTCTTACTCAGTCACAGTATAATTCATTTGAGCACCATTGAGTGTCTTGCTTGCATAGTAGATAGGGTGAAGGAGTTTTTTATGCTGTTGACCAAGAACCTCCCCAATAGCTACACCACTGGCGTCACACATGAGTTCAAATGGAAGGGACCAATCGGGTGTGACGATAATAGGTGCCATGATGAGCTTTTCTTTCAATTCCTCAAAAGCTTTGATACACTTCTCATCAAATACAAACTTTGCATATTTTTCAAGGAGCTTGCACATGGGATTTGTAATTTTGGAGAAGTCCTTGATAAAACGCCTATAGAAGCCAGCGTGCCCCAAAAAGCTCCGGACACCTTTTACTGAAGTGGGTGGAGGAAGCTTGGAAATGATTTCAATCTTTGCTCGGTCAACCTCTATGCCTTGTTTGGAAATTTTGTGGCCCAAAACAATTCCATCGTCCACCATGAAGTGGCACTTCTCCCAGTTTAGCACAAGGTTTGTTTCTTCACATGTTTTGAGCACTTGTCTAAGGTTGTCAAGACAATGCTCAAAGGAATCACCCACTACAGAGAAGTCATCCATAAACACCTCTAGGAAATCTTCCACCATGTCTGAGAAGATTGACATCATGCACTGTTGAAAGGTAGTCGGGGCGTTGCATAGCCCGAATGGCATACGGCTAAAGGCAAAAGTCCCATATGGGCATGTGAACGTTGTCTTATCTTGATCGTCCAAGGCAATATTGATTTGGTTATAGCCCGAATATCCATCCAAGAAGCAATAAAATGACCTTCCCGCTAGCCGATCAAGCATTTGATCAATAAAAGGCATATGGAAATGGTCTTTGCAAGTAGCACTGTTGAGCTTCCGGTAATCTATGCAAACTCTCCATCCATTCACAGTTCTCATTGGGATGAGCTCATTGTTCTCGTTTTGGATCACGGTCATGCATCCTTTCTTCGGCACATATTGCACCGGGCTCACCCAAGAACTATCGGTAATGGGGTAAACTACCCCGGCATCTAACCACTTGATGATTTCTTTCTTCACCACCTCTTGCATGGAAGGGTTTAACCGTCTTTGATGCTCCATGCTAGGTTTACTTTCTTGCTCCAATTGTATCTTGTGCTCAAAAATTCCGGCGGGAATCCCTCAGATGTCCGCTATTGTCCACCCAATGGCTTGTCGGTGTTCCCTTAGGACATTCAACAAATGATCTACCTGCACATCATTCACCAAATAAGAAACGATTACTGGTAAAGTATCATTAGAGCCAAGAAATTTATACCTTAAGTGCGGTGGAAGTGGCTTGAGCTCAAGTTGTGGCGGCTCAATAATTGAAGGCTTGGCGGGGGGAGTGACTCTATTCTATAAGTCAAGAGAAAGTTTCTTTGGTGCATAAGCGTAGGACCCACGTCCTTCTAATGCATTCATCGATTCCATGGACCCCTCCATTTCTTCACCATCAAAATTCACCAATATAGCCGGCAAAGCCTCACCAAGGCATTCTTCTTCCATTTTCATATAAATTGCACCTTCTACCTCATCAACAACATCAATGACTGAGATGCTCTCATATACATGTGGCAAATTCATACCCTTACTCGCTTAAAAGTTTACCTCTTTATCATTAACTCATAACTTGATCTCATTTCGTTCTGAATCCATAAGTGCTCCTCCGGTAGCAAGGAATGGTTTCCCTAATATGATAGGGATTTCTTTATCAACAGCACAATCAAGGATCACAAATCGGCGGGAAGGAGGAACTTTCCCACTTTCACAAGGACATCATCAATAATCCCCACCAATCTCTTGATTGAACGATCAACCATTTGCAACCTCATGCTTGTAGGCAGCGGCCTACCTAACCCCTCTTGCTTGTAAATAGCAAGAGGCATCAAGTTGATGCTAGCCCCATTATCACAAAGAGATCTTGCAAAATCTCTCAACCCAATAGTGCATGGAATGGTGAAGGCTCTCGGGTCTTCTTTCTTTTGAACGATAGTTGTTGCAATGATGGAACTAACCCGGTGAGTCATTTTCACCACTTCATTCTTGGTGGGTTTATTCTTGGTGATAAAGTCCTTCAAGTATTTAGCAAAACCCGACATCTCTTGAAATGCTTCTATAAATGGAATGTTCACCGATAATTGCTTGAGAATGTCATAGAATTTCTCGAGTTTGCTATCATCAACCTTCCTAGAAAGTCTTTGAGGGAAATGAAGGGGAGGTCTAGGAATTAGTGCTAGAGCTTTTGGTGCCTCTTTTACCTTTTCCTTGACCTCTTCACGGTTCACTTCTTCGACTTTCACTTCTTTTGGGAGCTTTTTAACTTCAACAATAATTGGCACCTCAACCTCTTGTTCAAGATCATTCACTTCAACCATTTGTTCATTCTCTCCTTGAAGTACTTTCCCGCTTCGAGTTGTGATTGCCATATAATAAGAAGTCGGTCCACTCCCATTAACTTTTAGGTTTGCAATTGTGTCACTTGGGAGTGCGCCCTTTTGCTTCGGATTTTGCTCTCTTGATAGATCTCTCATTTGCATTTCCAGCTTTTGTATGGATGCGGTGCGTGACCCCACAAGTTCGACCATGTTCTCCATTGAAGTGTTGTTTCTTTCTTGATTTTGCAATACTCTTTCAAGAATATTCTCCAATTTGGACTCATTTGAAGAACTTTTCTTATAATGCGAAGAGCTAGATTATTGACCCTTTGGTGGAACATAGGGGTTTGAACTCCAGTTTGAATAGTTGTTGTTGTTGTTACTCCAATTACCTTGACTTGAACCACCTTGATCATTTCACCACTTTTGATGGCCTTGCCCTTTCAGGTTAGGCCTCCATTGATTTTGTTGTCCGGGACCTTGGTAGGATTGTCTTTGGTAACCGCCTTGAGAATTATGGACATAATTTTCTTCCTCGCAATCTTCGTTTGACAAGAGTTGCACATCTTCCACATCATTTATCTTTTTTGTTTGGCTTTCAGTGAACATCTTGGTTAACACATTAATGTTGGTGGCAAGCCCGACAATTACTTGATCTCTCTTTTGGTTCTCTTTAATCATGTTGGTCAAAAAAGGAGTACCGTATGCAATTCCACCCTTGGTATCTTCCAAGTGCCAAGCTTGATTATGTTTTGCCATCTTGTCAAGGATTTGTGTGACCCTTGTAAATGTTTTGTCCATAAAAGATCCATCCGCCACATTTTTGGCTATGGATTGGTTCAACGGATCCAAACCCATGTAAAACTTCTCCAACAAGATTGTATTCGAAAAACCATGATTCGACGACCTCACTAGATATAGTTTGAATCGATCGCATGCCTCATATAGGTGTTCCCCTAGTAGTTGCTTGAAGAAGAAACTTTTATCTCTGAGCTCAGACTTCTTGCTTTGTGGGAACCATTTAGCTAGGAAAGCTCGGACGAGCTCATGCCAAGAATGAATGGAATGAGGTGGTAGATTTTGGATCCATTTCCTCGCTTCTCCATCTAATGAGTACTTGAATACCCTCAGTCTTAGGGCATCATCTGACACGTTGTTCTTCTTGTGCATCGCACACACACCCAAAAAGTTTCTAAGATGTTGTGTCAGATTATCATAGGTAGAATTTCTGAAAAACCCCTCTGCTTTAAGCATTAGGATCAAACCATGTTCCACCTTGAAGGTAGCAACATCAACTCGTGGAGAGACAATGGCATTTGTATCCTCGATATACTCATCTATATCCGCAAAAGGATTCTCTTCTTCTTCTTCTTCTTCTTCATACTTTGCGATGTTTACCTAGCACACCAAGCAAAGCAAGCAAAGTGTGATGGAATAGAAAAAGACGTAAAGTAAAGCAAACATTAAATAGTAATTTCAAAATCGCATTCCCCAACAACAGTGCCAAAATTTGATACGCTCAAATTACACCTAAATAAATAATGTAAGGCGGTCGATATCAAATATAGTAACCCAACTAGGTTGGGGGTGAATCCCACAGGGAATAGGTATGAAATGATTAATTGAATAGTGTAAAACTTGACTTAAGTCGTAATTCTATTCTGTTAGCTTGAAAATGGTGTTGTGATTCTGTGTAGTAAAGAAGACTATTGTATTGTGAGAATGTATTTAATTTGATTAAGGAAACCAAGGTTGTGTTTCCATCGATGGAATGTAATGCTATCAGTGTTAATATGATATATTTCTAATGGAAAGTCCTTTGATATGCAAATAGTTTATAAGTGACTACCCAATATTTCCCAATAGTTGGGTAATATCTTCTCTTTAAGATTTTCCCAAATATAGAAGAGTTGTAATTAAAAATAACCAATTTATGCCAACTAGAACCCACTTATTCCTAGGCAATTCTATTAAACAAGATTTAAAGCCTTGAGTTTTTTATATTCAATTTTACCAAACCCTAACCCACTTTTTCAAGTAAAGATAGAGTGAAATGGAATTAGTTAATGTTTGCAACTACTAACAATACATGAAGCATAAGTACTGAATAAATATCAACCAACCATTATATATATATATATATATATATATTTATATTTAATGGTAAACACCCATTAACATTATACCCATTTAGGGTCCACAACCTTAGTAGTTAAAACAAGCTACTCATACTAGAATCCAAGAACAAAGCAATAAATGAAGTCATAAAGCTTACAAAGTTACAAGATTCCTTCTTCAGACGCTTCCAAACCAATGGTGCATTCAATGCTCTAAAAGTAGCCTCTTTTTCTGACTCAATTATTCACAAAAACCCTAGTAAATCTATTTATAGTAGACTAAAAGTCGAGGTCAAGATTTGATAAAAATGCCCCTGCAGAGCCCTTCTGCGACCGCATAATGGTCGCATACCATGTATGCGGTCCGCATAGTTGACACTTGCATCGCAGAATTTCAGATCTTCAAGCCCAGATTTCCACCGCATTTCCATTATGCGGTCCGCATATCAGTTATGCGATCGCATTTTTCATCGCAGAAGTGCTATGCAGATTCTTCAATTGCAATTGTGCGATCATTATGCGGTTCGCTGAAGTGTTATGCGAACGCATAATGGACCGCATATTCTTCCCTTCAGTTGGCCAAAAATCTTCTTCAGTTTGCGGTAATTATGCGGTCCGCATATTACTTCTACGGTCGCATACTTGCGGCATTCCTGCCCTTTTGTAGCTTTTTGACTTCTTTTCCATGGTTTTTGGTCTTCAAGTCTCATGCACTACCAAACACCAAAACTTCATAAGAATTAACTAAAAATACATTGAAAGACGAGCTAAAGTCTATATTATTGGTATCAAAAGTGCCGAAATTCTACGGCACATAAACACCCCAACTTAAACTCTTGCTTGTACTCAAGCAACTAAAACGAAATTATCCTATCATATACTACTTCGATTTCTGACATGTCACAAAACAATAGTGATTGTAGATGATTTTAACTGTCAGCTAACAAGCATGTAACTTCTTTTATTTACCCTTCATGGAAGACAACTATCATTTAACAATTCGACTAATAAACTTGTGAACTTCGAGCCTCAACCAAAATGACAAAATGCTACTCACAACTATGTGTGCACTTGTATTCTACTTCAAGAACCTAACTTCTGCTAAATCTTGCAATTCATGCGCGCTCACAACAAAGAAAATCCCCCACTCACACATATGTACAGGGGATGCAATCAAAACACTCTTGCACTCGGAACGAAAGCTACTTGCTACAAGTATCAGTCCATACGCTTGCCCTTATTTTAACTTGCTGCTATCTCAAGAATGATTGGCTATAGATCACCAAGGACTTCGGGATGGGTTGGATGAATATTTGGGAATGTAGTGGCTATACCCTCCTTAAACTCTACATACATTTTTCTTCTTTACTACATAGCACTTATGGACCTCGAGTTACCGACATAGAACCACCTCAAAGTATTTCTTCGGTTTCTACATGACTCCGCTCGTTTTCTCAAATTTGACTTTGATGGCACGATAAATCAAAATGAGTATTGAGTAGGGGCATTGCTGATTGCACCTGATGAATTGCACACCCCCATTGCCATTAAGCGGAACTTTTAAGGAACTAAGAATACCACAAACCAACGAGTTTTCGGAGCTTGAGTTTCTTCATATATACAACTTTGAGGTTACCAATTTTCACTTTTTACCAGCACCCTCAACTTAGGCTTTTAGCCTCATTCTTACTCGTTCAAGGAGGGATGGGTTCGAAAGAAGAAATTATTTCACAACGGGATAAAAGTTTGTAATGTGGTAGCCAAATAAAAGGTTAACGGCTCAACGGGGGTAACTAGGGTAATTTATGTACTAAGGAGGTCAATTTGGTCAAAATTAGCTAGTAGACACAAAGATAACCTAAGATCATTTCAGCACCCAATCATTAACCTGAGATTTGCACTAAGAAGTCAAGCAGGAAAGTTCTAGACATCACAAGTTAAGCATATGCATTATTTATACAAATCCTCACTCACTCACAAAGCATGAACTGTTCGACTCAACATAGTTTCAGCCCTCAAGTGAATGCAAGGCAACTCAAAGCCTTCATTACATGACATGTAAGATTCTGAGTAAGCATAAAGTCAGAGAGCGAGCCTCAAGTTCACAAGAATGACTAACCATTACCCTTTTTATTTAGATATATACAAAAGAAGGAAGGGTACCATTTATTCACAAAAATTCAATACATGCTTGAAGCTAGAACAATCAACACCAAACAAGTCAAAACCTTTTATGCTACTACCGCGGTTCTACTATTACACCCTTGGAAAAGAACCCAGTGTAGAAAAAACAAGGGGGAATTCATTGCTAACTACCAATCTATACTATTAAAGAAAAGAGTTTATGTATAATGTTTACACAAAATATGACTACCCCACCCCCAACTAAAAGGCATGCGATGTTCCCAATGCATAGAGAATGTAAAAGCAAAGTTTAGGGGCTTCCTGGGGTGCACTAGGCACTCAGAGGGACTGAAGCAGCGGGGGCAACTGTGGGATCAACTGCTGGCACTGTTGCAGCAACATATGGGACCTCAGAATGAGTGGTGGTCTCTAAGGCTGGAACAGGAAGATCCACCTGCTGTGAGGCTGGGACTAGAACCTGGGAGCTGCTAGCCTCTCCCATCGATGGCTGCATGGTCGATGGATTTGCCTTTGCGACCATGTCCGCAATAGAGTGTGCAATTGCTGTTTGCACATCTGCTTCCTCTTCATCATGTATATCTGTAGAGACTACAACTTATTTGCCTCTATTGTTCTGTTGATCCTAAGTCTCCTCAACCAATGCCTCCTCATCAGTTTCCTCCGCTTCAGTGTCTCCCTCATCACTCTCCCCCTCAGACTCTCCGGATCCCTCATCTGAAGGAGTGGCGATGTGTTTAATGGAATCCTGAGCCTTTGAAGTCTCAGTACCTTGAGCTTCTAGAGCTGTCATAAGGTTTGTGAAATCCACGTCCAAGCTCGGAACATGGGAATTTCCAGTGCCCTGCTCACCTTCCTCCGGGAGAAGGGAGATCAAGTCAAACTCCAAATTTTGCATCTTGTGTAGTTCTGATTTCAGCTCTGCGACATCCTGTTGGAGTTTAGGAATATCTCCAGCTTCGCCTCTCTCGACCCTTTCAAGTCGCACTTCAAAGTGCTTGAGGCGATCTTTATAGGATTGATGCTGTTGTTGAAAAACGCACACTGAGGCTTGGATAGGGGCCAGTGCTTGCCTAATAAGAGCTGGGAGTTCCTTTGTCGGTCTGTCTACCTTGGCATTGGCATGTTGGGCTAGTAAACCTAGCTTTGATAGTGCTGGTAAGGTAGTAGGTAGCTGTGCAGTGCTTGACTTAGAAGTGGATATGGAGGTGGCTAGTACGGAGGGAGTGTCATGCAGTGATGGAGCAGCAAGTGCTGCTAAGTCTGATGGAGGATTTAGTGAAGTCTCTAGTGGGATGTCCACCACATTGTCTGCGACATCACTAATCCGAGTGATATCAATATCTTGGAGAGTGTTTTCAATGCGGTCATGTTTGGGAATAGGAGGCACTTCCACAGCTTTACACAGAGTAGTGATCAAACACGGGAAAGGAAGTGATGTTTCTTTCTGATTCGCTCTGATCCCAATCTCCTTGAATATAATTTCGCCCACATAAACCTTTATGCCCTTCATGATGAATGCAATGAGGATTGCCTTTTCGATATTTATGTCTGTTTCATTTCTCGTAGGTATCATACGGGAGCAGACAAAACTGAGCCAATATCGGCCCTCCTGAGTGAGATCCTACTTGTGAATCTTTTGGCACGGAACTATCCATGAGGGGGTTCCCTTGTCTATAACGGAATCCACCCAAGCACGCTCGAATTATTTATTGGCAAGTGTTGCATTATACTCAGCCGTGCCTAACGACCAATCCTGAAAATATATGTCATTTATGGATACGGCATCACAGAGTACTTGGACCCCTCGAACTTGGGCAGATTGCAAGAATACCCGGTTCTGCTTCTGCTCAGCATTTGTGGAGGCAGCATAAGCAACATAGAATTCCCTTGTGAGTGTCTCGTTATTCTCCTCCTGGACTTCATTGAAGAACTCTCATTACCTCTTTATTAAGTTTTCAATCACATGAGGGTTTCTCTTTTAGACAGTTTAGGCTTAGTTTCTTATCTTCAAGAATCTTTATCTTTGCTAGCCCATTTATGTACAGATTCCACGAGCCTACGACCAAAAATCTATGATCTTCCCCACTCTTCCATCGTGTTTCAGCATGCAAGTCAACGTATGGCATGAGATCAGTCTGTGCCTCCTCCTCTTCAAATTGTGAGGAGTGCTCAGAAGTGCTTCGGGCTCTTTTAGGCCTTGGGCATTTTGATTGCTGGGCTTGTCGGCTCAGTGCAGCAGCTCATTTGTTTCCTCGAGCGGGAGGTGATCGCAATGAGAGAGACTTTTTTGGTGCCATTACTGTCAAAAAAAAAATAAAAAAAATGAATGAATCACATTGAGAGAAAATGAATAAAACAAACAACTTTTGCGATGGGTTATGTGATCGCATAACCACTTTGCGAACCGCAAACACATCGCAGAATTACAACACACAAGAGGCAAATAATTATGCGATCACGAAAACGGTCGCATTTCTGCTCACTAGAATAACAATTGTTTCTGACCATGTTTGCGGCAGCTTTGCGGTCCGCAAAATGAGTTTGCAGCCGCATACTCCATCGCAGAATCACGTTGTACCAGGCCACCTAGGGATCCAGTTTGCGATGACTTTGCTGACCACAAACCTATTATGCGGACCGCAAAGGTCGTCTTCCTCAGTCAAAATTGGTCAAACCCCACTCGAATGTAAAACAATGACCCACGAATCTCCCACCCAGGTCCCCACAGCAAAGGTTTGAGAGGAAAGTAGAGGAAATGAGTTCAAGTAATTGATATTATGCAACATAACCACGAGAAAGAGGAAAGAGAATCACATACCAGATGTCTGAGCAAGATAAAAATTAATTTTGAGATGTGAACGAGGTGAATCTTTCCGCAATGCTGATCCTTGTTATGTGATTTTTTGTGTGATTCGAATGATTTTGGCTTTTTCTTCTATTTCTCTTTGTTTTTGATTTTGTGTGTGTTGCACAGTGTTCGAGTGTGAGTGAGAGTGAAGGTATGCGGAAGGTTTAGGGTGTTATACCTGAGCATTTTACGGTGGGAAAGTGGATCGCATAACACATTATGTTGTCGCATATGTGTTATGCGGTGGATTAAGGACTGGGTTGCCCAAACTTTATTTTGCGACGATTTCTATGGTCGCATAGTTGTGACACGGGCCGCAAAATCTGAAACCTTACCGCATTTTTGCAGACCCATCTTGCCAATTTCTCTAACTATGTTTGCGACCACTATGCAGTTCGCAAAGTAATTATGCGACCGCATAGTTGCCGCAAACCACAAACCCTTCTTTCCTTCAATTACCTCAGTACGTGCACCCTGTTCATGGTATTTTGGACTACCTGCATTCTAACACACATGTCAACCTTCTCAACAATAACAACTAAACCTACATAAATGAAAAACTAACAAAAGAGTGTTACCACACATGGGTTGCCTCTCAAGAAGCGCTTGATTTAACGTCGCGGCACGACGATGTCGATCCCGTTTGGGCTACTCAGTGGTTGGTGTAGGACTATCCTTGAGAGCAATTTGTTCTACTAGGTGCTTTTCTCCTGTGGTGCCAAGGTAATTCTTAACCCGTTGGCAATTTACTTTGAAAGTTTGAGTCCCGTCCTCCGACTCCAATTCGATAGCACCATAAGGGGACACATTTACAACTTTGAACGGGCCAGACCATTTGAATTTGAGTTTGCCCGGAAATAACTTGAGTCTTACGTTGAAGAGTAAGACCAAGTCATCGGATTTGAATTCCCGCTTTAAGATGTTCTTTTCATGAACAAACTTCATTCTTTCCTTATACATGGCTGCACTCTCAGAGGCATTCCATCTCATTGAGTTGTGTCATGTAGTGTATTTAAGGGCATTCCCCTTTTCACTTAAAGATGATGCGAAGTAGTGGATTCGAAGCTTACTGATGCACTCAAATTACATCTAAATAAATGGTGTAAGGCGGTCGATGTCAAATATAGTAACCCGACTAGTTTAGGGTCGAATACCACAGGGAATAGGTGTAAACCGATTACTTAAATAGTGTAAAACTTGACTTAAGTCGTAATTCTATTCTGCTAGTTTAAAAATGGTGTTGTGATTCTATATAATAAAGAAGACTATTGTATTGTGAGAATGTATTTAATTTGATTAAGGAAACCAAGGTTGTGTCCCCATCGATGGAATGTAATGCTATCAGTGTTAATATGATATATTTCTAATGGAAAGTCCTTTGATAGCAAATGGTTTATAAGTGACTACCCAATATTTCCCAATAGTTGGGTAATATCTTCTCTTTAAGATTTTCCAAAATATAAAAGATTTGTAATTAAAAATAACCAATTTATGCCAACTAGAACCCACTTATTCCTAGGCGATTCTATTAAACAAGGTTTAAAGCCTTGAGTTTTTNNTATATATATATATATATATATATATAATGGTAAACACTCATTAACATTACACCCATTTAGGGTCCAGAACCTTAGTAGTTAAAACTAGCTACTCATACTAGAATCCAAGAACAAAGCAATAAATGAAGTCATAAAGCTTACAATGTTACAAGATTCTTTCTTCAAAAGCTTCCAAAACAAAGGTGCATTCATTGCTCTAAAGGTAGCCTTTTTTTCTGACTCAATGACCCACAAAAACCCTAGTAAATCTATTTATAGTGGACTAAAAGTTGGGGTCAAGATTTGACAAAAATGCCCCTGCAGAGCACTTCTGCGATCGTATAATGGTCGCATACCATGTATGCGGTCCGCATAGTTGACACTTGCATCACAGAATTTCAGATCTTCAAGCCCAGATTTCCACCGCATTTCCGTTATGCGGTCCGCATATCGGTTATGCGACCGCATTTTGCATCATAGAAGTGCTACGCAGATTCTTCAATTGCAATTGTGTGGTCATTATGCGGTTCGCAGAAGTGTTATGAGACCGCATAATGGACCACACATTCTTCTCTTCAGTTGGCCAAAAATCTGCTTCAGTTTGCGGTATTTATGCGCTCCGCATATTACTTCTGTGGTCGCATACTTGCAGCATTCCTTCCCTTTTGTGGCTTTTTGAATTCTTTTTCATGTTTTTGGGTCTTCAAGTCGCATGCACTACAAAACACCAAAACTTCATAAGAATTAACTAAAAATTCTTTGAAAGACGAGCTAAAGTTTATGTAATCGGTGTCAAAAGTGCCGAAATTCTCCGGCACATCACTTACCAAATGGATCAATTAGAACATGGGAGGAAATGACCAGAAAATTTCTTGATAAATATTTCTCCTCAGCTAAGACGGTTAAGTGTAGAAGAGAAATCCATAACTTCTGCCACAAAGAGAATAAAACTACTTTTTGAAGCATGGGAGAGGTTTAAGGAGATAGTTAGGAGGTGTCAACATAGCGGAATTGAACTCTGGATGCAACTCCAGGATATTTGGGATGAATTGACACCAACCTCTCATAGAACATTGAGCAATGCAGTTGGAGGACCCTTTATGAAGAATACACCTGAGGAGATAGTTACAATTC